TCTAATAAAAATGAAAATTGGTTTATATTACAATTATTGTTTTTTTGAATCAAACAAATCTATATTAAGTTAAGTCATTTCCCGTTTTTTTCAAAGAATAAAAGTGTGTGTATTTTTAATGAATTTTTCGTTAAAGTGACCAAAATGGATTTTAAAACCAACTTCGACTTTTTAAACAAAAAAAATATTATAGAAACTTGATTTTAGGTATGAATTCAACATTCTTTGATGTCAAATACTAATAAATAAACTAAGATGAATATATTTGTATTTTACTATACTATATAAAATACTAATAAAATATTTATTGGTATTCTATTTGATATATTTATTATTTAACAATACAATAGAATGTCGAATTCAAATTATGTATGGCCTTAAATAGTTTACCAAAAAAAGGCCAATCAATTATATACAATAATACTTTTATTATTTCATCATGACGGGAACTATTCACAAAAAAACAAAACATAATTTAATATTTTAAAGTTTTGAGGCTGAAATTCCAATCGACTTTTTTAGTTTATTAAATCTTTATACTGGCAAGTGTTTTTCGCAAACAAAAGACAATTTGGGTTGCAATGTTTCAAAAGTGCAGACATCCACAACTTATAACAACTTCATATCGATCTATTTATTATAAATTCTTGTTCTTTATATTTTTTCCTCAGAAAATAATTCTCTAAATGCAAGAACAAAGCATTTCTCGAATGAAAAAAAAATAAAAGAAATAATTATTTTCAACATTTTATATTCTGAAAGTCATCGATATTGATGCGCTGAATTCAGTTAATTGTCCAGACAAATGAAGTTGTGTTTCCCGTTGCCGTTTTACTAATGAAATTAACATTAGTTTATTTTGTGAAAAAACAAGCCATTTTACATTTAACGGTTCCAAATCAGATGTGGGGTGTAAAGTTCTAATTATTTCCATACTAAAAAAACAACGAAAACGTTTTAACCCAACGAAAATGATTTATAAAACTTAAAGTATAGCTTTATTATTGGTAAAGAACTTATTTTTTATGAAAATTATTTATAAATATCTGTTGAACAAAAAACGCCATCTTTGACTATATTTAAATGCCTTGTAAAAGCGTGTTTTTGATTATCAGAAACTTATCTCATAAAGACAATGTTACTTCTTTTATTGTGTTTATCTCTTGGGGCTGTCAATAACATTTCCTGCTCATTGGGGTGTTCCCAACCTTGCACATCGGCCTACACTTGTGGTGCTTGTAAAGAAGGATATGAAGTTGATAACGAATGTAGCCATTGTAAGCTTGTGGATGTCTACCACAGCTTCTCTGAAGAAAATCCACTTTATGTGCTTCAAAATGGGGAGTGTATACGAGTAACTAATTACATTCAAAAAAGTGGGTGGCTTCCTGAATCAGACAATGAAATAGTTCCAATACTCATTGAAACGCCCCTTACACTAAACTTCGACACACAGACAAAATACGACTTTGGGCCTTGTATTTCTCGAGGTGAAAAGCAGAACAGGTACAGACCTGGTTACTGGATATCTCTGACTGTAC